GCTAGTAGTGTTGTCTTCCTTTTACATAAAGGGAAATAAAGGGTTCAGAAAGGTCAGCCAGGTAGCGCAAGATCCTTAGCAGTGCGGAAAAGACCCCGTGACTCGTGTCAGGGAGGTGGTGACTGGAGGAGGGGTTCCCTCACTTCCTTGTTTTATGGTAAATGGAAAAAAAAAAAAAAAAAAAAGACAAACAAAAAAACCTCAGAGTTCCAAATGTACATGATCATCCCCAGCTTCCCACTCCTACAGCACTGTGGGAGATAGGCCCCTGCATTTATCTCCCTTCAAGATTATCTTTTGTGTAGGTTGTTAATCAAAGTTCACCCATGAGTAAATGATGGGAACAAGAGAGAATAAAAGAAAAAGGGTGTCTTACTGGCCACAGGGAGGCCCTGGGTGGCCCAAATGGTTAAGCACTTGGCTACTAACCTAAAGGTTGGTGGTTCGAGTTCACCCAGAGGTGCCTCAGAAGAAAAGACTGGCAATCTGCTTCTGAAAGATAACCACCAATGAAAACCCTGTGGAACAAAGTTTCACTCTGAGACACGTGGTGTTGCCATGAGTTGGGAGCTGACTCAGCAGTAACTGGATTGGTTTGGTTTTACTAGCCATAGCACAATTTAAAGCTCAAGCTCTAAGACTCTGGAGTTAGATTTTCTGTGGGGTTTTGGGAAAGTTACTTTTTCTTCCTGTGCTTCAGTTTCCCTGTTAGCAAAATGCGGAAACAAGCTTAGGGTGCTTTGATAGGTAAAAGATCTAACACTGGATAAAAGTTGAGCCTAGGGCATAATAAAGCAAACCAAACCCGTTACCGTGGAGTTGATTCCAGCTCATAGAGACCCTGTATGGAGCTCTGGTGGTGTAGTGGTTAAGAGCTCGGCTGCTAACCAAAAAGTCGGCAGTTCAAACCCACCAGCTGCTCCTTGGAAATCCTATGGGGTAGTTCAACTCTGTCCTATAGAATCACTGTGAGTCGGAACCAACTCGGCGACACCTAACAACAACATGGAGACCCTATAGGGCAGAGTAGAACTGCCCCAAAGAGTTTCCAAGGCTGTAACCCCCACTTTTTTTTTCCTAAATCTTATTTATTTTGTTGTTGTTGAGAATATACACAGCAAAACATACACCAAATTCAACATTTTCTACATGTACAATTTAGTGACATTGATTACATTCTTTGAGTTGTGCAACCATTCTCACCCTCCTTTTCTGAGTTGTTCTTCCCTCATTAACATAAACTCATTGCCTCCTAAGGTTCCTGTCTAATCTTTTGAGTTGCTGTTGTCAATTTGATCCCATATAGGTAGTTCTTGAAAGAGCATAATGTTCAAGGCAACTTTTTTACTAGTTAAACTATTTTTTTTTTTTAGGGTACTCTATATCTTTTTTTTTTTTAATTGTACTTCAGGTGAAGGCTTACAGAACAAATAGTTTCTCATGAAACAGAAGTACACATGTTGTTTTATGACATTGGTTAACAACCCCACAACATATCAACCCTCTAACTTCTCAACCATTTTTTTTTTTTTGGTGAAAATACACATAACCAAAGATACACCATTTCAAGAATTTCTACATGCACAGTTCAGTGACATTGACTACGCTCTTCCAATTGTGCTGTTATTCTCACTTAAGATGAAGGCTTACAGAACAAAATAGTTTCTCATTTAACAGTTACTACATGTTGCCCTATGACAATGGTTAACAATCTCACAACACATCAACAATATCCTTCCTCAACCTTGTGTTCCCTATCACCAGCTTCCTTCTCCCCTTCTGCTTTCTGGCCCTTGTCACTGGACTCCTGTACCTCGTTAGTCTCATTTGGTTTTATGGGGTTGTCCACTCCCAGGCTGAACAGTGAACCTCGGAGGTAACTCCACCACTGAGCTAAAAGGGTGTCTGGGGGCCATACTCTCGGGGTTTCTCCAGTCTTCTTTAGGCCAGTAAATCTGGTTTTTTTTTTGTGGGTTAGAATTATGCTCTACATCCTTCTCCAGCTCTGTCCAGAACCCTCTGTTGTGGTCCTGGTCAGAGCAGTCAGTGGTGGTAGCTGGGCACCATCTAGCTGTACTGGACTCAGTCTGGTGGAGGCCTTGGTAGCTGTGGACAATTAGTCCTTTGGACTAATCTTTTCCTTGTATTCTGTTCTCTTTATTCTCCCTTGCTCCCGAAGGGATGAGACCAGTGGAGTATCTTAGATGGCTGCTCACAGGCTTTTAAGACCCCAGACACTACTCACCAAGGTCGAATGTAGAGCATTGTCTTTATAAGCTGTGTCATGCCAATTGAGCTAGATGTTCCCCGAGACCATGGTCCCCAGAGCCCTCCACCCAGCAATTCAGTCCCTCAGGGAGTTTGGATGTGTCTGTGGGGCTTCCATGACCTTTCCTTGTACAAGTTGTGCTAGTTTCTCCTGTATTGTGTACTGTCTCACCCTTCACCCAAGATACCACTTATCTATTGCCTATTTAGTATTTCCTCCCCCACCCCTCCCATCCCTGGTAACCAACAAAGATTGTTACATTTTGTGTGTGAACTTTTTCATGAGGTTTTACAATAGAGGTCTCATGCAATATTTATCCTTTGGTGATTGACTTATTTCACTCAGCATAATGTCCTCCAGTTTCATCCATGTTATGAGATGGTTCACAGATTCATTGTTGTTCTTTCTCTTTGCATAGTAACCCATTGTGTGCATGTACCATAGTTTATTTGTCCATTCATCTGTTGATGGGCATCCAGGCTGTCTCCATCGTTCTGCTATTGTGAGCAATGCTGCTATGAACATAGGTGTGCACATGTCCATTCGAGTGACGACTCTTATTTCTCTAGGATATATTCCTAGGAGTGGGATTGCTGGATCGAATGGTATGTCTATTTCTAGCCCTCTGAGGAAGCGCCATATCATTTTCCAAAATGGTTGTATCATTTTGCATTCCCACCAGCAGTGCACAAGTGTTCCGATCTCCCCACAGCCCCTCCAACATTTGTTATTTCCAGTGTTTTTGATTCATGCCAGTAATGCCGGGGTGATATGGTATCTCACCGTGGTTTCAATTTGCATTTCCCCAATGGCTAGCGATCGCGAGCATTTCCTCATGTGTCTGCTGGCCATTTGAATGTCTTCTTTGGTGAAGTGTCTGCCCATTTCCTTTGCCCATTCTCTGATAGGATTATTTGTCTTTTTTTTGTAGAGGTGTTGGATTTTCTTGTAAATTATAGAGATTAGACCTTTTTCTGACTTGTAATGTCCAAAATTTTTTTCCCAGTCTGTAGGTTCTCCCTTTACTCTTTTGGTGAAGTCCCTTGAAGAGCATAGGTGTTTGATTTTTAGAAGATCCCAGTTACCTAGCCTATCTATTGGGTTTTGTGCATTGATGGTCATGGTCTGTATCCTGTCAATGCCTTGTATTAAGACCTGAAGTGTTGGTCCTATTTTTTCTTCTATGAACTTTATAGTTTTAGGCTTTATATTCAGGTCTTTGATCCATTTTGAAGGAGTTTTTGTATATAACATGAGGTATGGGTCCTGTTTCATTTTTTTGCAGATGGATATCCAGCTTTGCCAGCACCATTTGTCAAAAAGACTGTCTTTTCCCCATTTGATGGACTTTGGGCCCCTGTCGAAGATCAGGTGACTATAGGTGGATGGATTTACATTTGGGCTCTCAATTCTGTTCCATTGGTCAATGCATCTGTCGTTGTACTAGTACCAGGCTGTTCTGACTACCGTAGCTGCATAGTAGGTTCTGAAGTCAGGCAGTGTGAGTCCTCCAACGTCCCTCTTCTTCTTCACTAGTGCTTTACTTATTCGGGGCTTCCTCCCTTTCCATATAAAGTTAATGATTAGTTTTTCGGTCTCTTTGAAGAATGTTGTTGGTACTTGGATCGGGACTGCACTGTATTTGCAAATTGCCTTGGGTAGAATTGTCATCTTCACAATGTTGAGTCTGCCCATCCATAAGCATGGTATGTTTTTCCATCCATGCAGATCCCTTTGGGTTTCTTGCAGTAGTGTTCTTTAGCCCTCTTTGTATAGGTCTTTTACATCCCTGGTCAGATTCATTCCCAAGTATTCTATCTCTTTAGGGGCTATTGAAAATGGCATTGTTTTCCCGATTTCCCTTTCATCGTTCTCCTTATTGGTGTATAGGAATCCAACTGATTTTTGAATGTCCATCTTGTATCCTGCCACTCTGCTGAATCTTTCTATTAGTTCCAGTAGATTTCTCATGGAGTCTTTAGGGTTATTGTTTGGTTTTAAGAGGGCTTGTTTAAGGTTTAAAGATTATCTTAAGGCAATAATTTCAGGGGTTCATCCACCTTCCATGGCTCTAGAAAGTCTAGAGTTCATGAGAATTTGATCCAAGACTGTAAATCTTTACGGAAGCAGGCTGCCACATCTTTCTCCATGGAGCAGCTGACGGATTCAAACCAATAGGTTCGGACCTCTTACTTCTCAAAACCGATAGGTTCATACCTTTTGGTTAGCAGCCAGGCACTAAACCACTGCTCCACCTGGGCTCCTAGGACATAATAGTCACTCTATAAAGAGTGGCAGTTATTATTGCTCCTTGCCCTGTTACCTTCTGGGGTCACCACAGTTCCAAAGACCCTTCAGGGTAGCCTTAACCTTGGCATCTCAAGAAGGTCAGCAGCAGCTTTGTTTTCTAACCATTTCTAGGGACAGAAGTTGGTTGCTGTCTTCTCCGCGCTAGTAACTGAGGCCAGCTTCACTTGGAAGATTTGTCCATTTCAACAACTGTTTTTGCTGCTTTGGGGGTGCCAGTAAAGGTTATCACTTAATTATTTACTTTAAGACATCATAAAGTCTCCCTCAGAAAACAGAGAAACAAATGGAAGTGTTAAAAGTTCTGATACACTGGCTCTGCAGAAGCCCACAAAGCACATCTGAAGTCTCATGAAGACAATATGAATATGAAAGGCCCAGTATACATATCAACGCACACATCGAGGCCTCCTGTATCACTTACTTTTGAGAGGCGGCTCATTCTTTCTTCATTGTCTTCCAGAGTGCGCAAACTTGGAGGTACATACCAGAAGCAGACATTGGTGTGCTGAGGCTACAAAGAGGAAAGTTAAGATTTCACATCTAGTCCAAACTGGCAACTGTGAAAATCCAAGGACACTGCAGATCTCTGTGTTTGGCAGGTTCAGAATATAATTCCTACTTTTAAATCAGTAATTGCCTTGGGAGAGCCTGAACTGCACATTATATAGAGTCGTTGTTAAGTTTGATTTTACTTCAGCTCAGAAAAGATACCCCAGCATCTATTGCTTCCCCTTTGTAGTGGCCCCACTTACCTGCAAAAGGACACCATTTACATTAAAAAAAAAATCAATGATAAACATTGGAATTGGCTAAACTCTTTTGGGATTGTAGATATAAGAATACATACCTTTCCATCAAACACCATTTCATATCCTTCTCGGTTTTTAATGATATTGTATAAATACTCTGCCAGCTCCAAACACTTGTCAATCTGTGCTTCAAACCCAGTAGTCCCCTGAGTAAGGGAAGAACAAAGCTGGTTAGGCAGGCTGAGTCCTCAGAGGCCCCTGAGGTACAGGACAAAGTGATCCCTTTGGAGATTCAGGGTCATTCCGCCCCTTCTATCTCTGCCCTCTTCTGGCACTTTCCTTACACCAGGCTGTGTTTCTAGAGCCTTTCCCAGCTGTTATTTTTTCCCTTTAATTCTCTGCCCCCTCAGGTGCTTTTGTCCTCTTTCACTCCATTACTGCTTTCCTGGGTGGGCCCCTTTTCTTCCAGAGCTTCCATTCCGAAAGTCAATATTTTGATTACTCAAGGGGAAAATTTGCTTCTGCCTTTCATTGGAGTAATCATGGAGGTCATTAACAGCAGGAGGGCTGAGCTAGTCTCTTCTTGCAGAGAAGGAGCATCATCACAGACCCACCCTCCCAGGATGCCAATTTAGTCCCACTCATCGTGTAAATGGTCCATTCCCAGACCCCCTCTTTGTTCACCAAAATATCTCCCTTAGAACAAATACGGTAGGTGCTCAACGAATATTTGTTGAACAAATGAATGAATGAATCTTAGGAAGCACACAGATGCTTTTCATGGGTTAGGCTGCCACTTTACAAAGCTAATTAGATTTCTGCCTTGGGGATAAATGATTCAAGTGTCTGTAATGGTGAACATTATCATAGAGGCCTTTTAGTTTCCAGCTCTAGGAGCCAGGATCTGGACTTATGAAAAACAACAGCACAGCCTTGGATTGGAGTTGTTTAACAGAAGTCAGTACACACTAAGGAATTATTTTGCAAAATGGCTTTCCCTATGTACTTCAGCGTTTATTGAGTGCTAATGGAAAGCTTAGAGAAACAACTAATGCTCATCCCAAGATGAGTCACTGGCCTATCGGTGACTACTCCAACATGGAAACCTGAGGGAGCAATTGTCCTGGAGATGAAATGGACCTGTTTCCCGTGTGCACAGTGTCTCATCATCTCAGGGAAAAGGGGGATGACCATAGTGCAGTGACTTTGAACATCTGTAACATACTTAACAACAGGCTACTTCTAAGAAACCTAACGGGTTCAGAAATTAGTTTTCTTTGGCGATTGCTGCTCCAGTCCACGGCTTAAAGGAGGCCAACTGGTTCCTGATGACCCCAAGGATGGTCTTGGGCTGATGCTTGAATGCTCAGGCTAACACTTGTGCCATGTACTCCATGAGTCTGCGGATACCAAGGAAATTAGGATTGGTTTGGACTGACCTGGCAGTTTGGGCCCACTTGGGATGAACCCTAGGTAGGAGGGAGGAAAGCTAATTGTTCTTCAGATTGAATCCTTTGGACCAGTCTAGAGACTGACTTTAAACTTTCATGTACCTGATCCAGAATATGGCCAAGGCCAGTATGACTCTGCCTAGTATGTCCAGCTGTATGGCTGTGACTCATCTCTCTGGTCACATGAGGATTATGACACCTGCCTTTCATACGCAGGGATGTTGTAAGCTAAAGTGAATTCTCTGAAAAGAGTTTGCTACTTTGCAAAGGCAGTGGGATTACCACAGATCAGAGTGGGAGTCCTTTTGCCTTCACCAGTCTAGGACTGTACTCTGGGGATGACCAAAAGCAGTGTGACTGCCTCTTTAGCTGGGGGTTAAAGAGGTTCATAGGAGTACCTGGGTGGTGCAAATGGTTAATGTGCTCAGCTGCTAACCAAAAGGTTGGTTTGAGTCCACCCAGAGGTGCCTTGGAAGAAAGGCCTAGTGATCTACTTCAGAAAAACCAGCCACTGAAAACCTTATGGAGCACTGTTCTACCCTGACACACATGGGGTCAAAATGAGTTGGAGTTGACTCAACAGCAACTTTTTTTTTAAAAGAGGTACATGGGGAGTGACATAGAAAACTCTAGTGTGTCCTTAGAAGCCCGGGGCACCTTCTTTTCATGCTGGCTATTTATGGGAATAAGATCCATGTTTCATTTTAGAAGTTTTAAGATGTTTACGGGATCCTTCAAAACTCATTCCTTCATCAAGTACTTCTTGAGGAGCTATTATCTGCCAGAAGCTCTAATTGTGAGAATGACAAAGGCAAATTTTGAACTTTGTCAAACATTGTGTCACCATGACCTGAATCACTAAGAAGGAAGCTGAAGGCTCAGTTAATTGTATTAAAAATGTGGATTCTCAGGTCCCACTCCAGATCCTCCAACCAGAATTTCAGGAAGATAAACTGTGTTCATGCTATCTTCTTCAGTGACTTCACCATCTCCCAAGTTTTCACCTATTGCCTCTGTGTCATTTCTGGGCCTTTCTTGAGTGCTGGTCATGATTCTTCTCTGTTTCATGAAATCCTCATATAAATGTTCTCAGGCCCCACAGATGCTGCTTCTGAACTAACTGCTGAATCCCTTGCTGCTATCTCCATTTTTACAGCAACACCCTAGTTCAGACCCTCTTACTTTTCATCTAGACTGTAGCTCCCTAATTACCCTTCAGTCAGTTTAGACTCTCCACTAGTTCCAGAAAATGCACTTTAGCTCCTGCTCAGCCTTCTTCCTGGAATGCCTTTCTCCTATCTCTGCTGGATATCACAATCTTACTTCCTCCACCTATCTTATCTGACATCCATCTCCATGTCATCTCTTGATAAATCCTTCTTGATTGTCACACCAGCAATGTGTTCTCCATCCTCTAAGTTCTCAAAATCTGTCTCTGTTTCTCTTATGACCTATTATGTAATGGTTATCTTTGTATTTATCTTATCCTGTCTGGAAAATTGTGGCCTTATCCCATTCAGTGCCAGGCACAATAATAGATGCTCAATAGCTATTTATTAAAATAAATTAATATTTTAGAGAGACAGTAACAATCAGTCACTCAGCAAAGGATTCCAGACATCAAGTTCCCTTCAATGTATTTCTGTTATTTTTTTGCCCCATTCATTTCCCTGTTCCTCCACTATTCACATTTTTAATTAGGGAGGCCACTGAAAACTGCAAGGAAACCTGCCAGTTTGTGTAACCAGGTACAAATGCAGAGATTTAAGGAAGGATCCTGGGTGGCAAAATGGTTAAAGCACCCAGCTGCTAACTGAAAGGTCGGTAGTTGGAATCCACCAGCTGCTCCGTGGGAAAAGACATGTCAGTCTGCTTCCGTAAAGATTACAGCCTTGGAAACCCTATGGGGCAGTTCTACTCTGTTCTACAGGATCACTGTGAGTCGGAATCGACTCCATGGTAGTGGGTTTGGTTGTTTTTTGTTTTGCAGGCCTAGAAATGGGGGACTGATTTTATGTTTGTTTTTTTCATTTAGTATACCACTGAGTTTTAACCACTGAGGAAATCTGTCAACATGGAAAATACCTGTCAAGTCCTAGGTTCCTCTAATGCAGAGAAAATGAGAAGTCTACTAAATAATCACAGCGTTTAGGGCAGGAGCTGCAACTTTGCTAACAACAGGCTTGCATATCTTATGATCATCTAGAACGCCTCCAAGCATCCCACAGGAGGAGGCTCTGTTCTTGCACAGATTTCCCCTAATCAAGTTATCCTGGACTTAGCATAGTGGCTGTCATCAGTGCATTTAGCTCCATTAGTCATTAACAGATTAGTTTGAAGAACAGTGATTTATACTTAGGCTACTGTGTGCTTTATCTTACTAAGGAGAAAATGTGGATTTATTTGAACATTGCATTCTTCAGGCATACCTAATAACAGAGGTTTTCTGAACTAAAGCTACCTTCCGCATCATCCTTCTCTTTTTTCATTTTCAAATTGTTTCCTCACTCCTGTGGAGATGCAAGCTAGGATGTCATAGCCAATTTTTCCATGGTTCTCCTTTGCGGGGAGAGGTTATATCTGACTTCCCTAACTGACATTGCTAGAGAGTTTTTGATGTGAAGGAGCCCCTGAGTGGTGCCAACAGTTAACGTGCTCTGCTGCTAACAAAAAGTCTACCCAGAGGTGCCTTGAAAGAAAGGGCTGGTGATCGACTTCTGAAAAATCAGCCACTGAAAACCCTATGGAGCACAGTTCTACTCTGACACACATGGGGTCATCATGAGTCAGAGTTGACTTGACAGCAATTTTTTTTTTTTTTTTTTACTGATTTGATATGAGAGTGTAACCTCTGATTTGGGCTGTAGGACTGAGCTCATTAGCTCATTACTTTAATTATTATCATCTTTGGTCTACAGCATGGTTATACTCTTTTCTTTTGGCAAAAAAAATTAAAAAGCAGCTTTAGGTTGAAAAGCAAATGGAAGTTTCTGCAGTTTAGACATCTAAATCCTTGAGGTTTTGCATAAGAAATTAAAAAAAAATGTGTCCCTAAGCTGCTGTGATTTTTGCATTTTCTTTTTTCATCCTTTCTCCTGGTGCTTTTATTTCAGCACTTTAAAAATGAGATCTTTTGCCTTTATCCTGGGCTTCATCTGGTCCTGCTGCTTAATTCACACCTGATGTCTTCCAAGTGATTGCTGTAAGAACCAAGGGGCTTCACCATCCTGGAAAGGAGCCTTCAGATGGGGAAAGAGCAGCAGGAACTGATGAGCCACGAGAGGAACATGTTTGTGTAGATATAGCTAATGATGATCCTCTTAATAAAAACACCACAGGCAAGAGACAAAAAGAATAACCTTTGAAGTAAGGTGAACTTGCACAATAATTAGAGACCAAGCTTTACTCAGCTTCTTGTGGTTTGCTGTGGTCAAGTTGGCCCCCAACTCATGGTGACTCCGTGCACAGCAGAACAAAATGCTGCCTGGTCCTGCACCATCCCCATGATCAGTTGCCACTCAGACCCTGTGATCAATAGGGTTTTTTACTGGTTGATTTTGAGAAGTAGATTGCCAAGCCTTTCTTCCTAGTTTATCTTAGTCTGGAAGCTCTGCTGAAACCTGTTCAGCATCATAGCAACACACAAGCCTCCACTGATACATGGGTGGTGGCTGTGCATGGGGTGCATTGGCTGGGAATCAAACCTGGGTCTCCTACACGGAAAGCAAGAATTCTACCACTGAACCACCACTGTTCCTGACCTGGTACTTACATTTATTTTTTGGTAATTCCCACCAACCAATGGAATGAAAAACCTGCTCTTTTTTTTCAGCTTGAGAGTACACCAATAGTTTACATTCTTGATTTATTATTAATTTGCCAATGAAAGTCTTGTCTGAATCTTGTCTTTGGAGGGTGGGAACCACGTATGTGTCCCCGTCAGGCTCTTAACTTTCAAAAGAGGAAATCAACACTCTGCCCAGCTCAAGGGACCAGGGTCCATCACACCACTCTCACCAGGCAACACAGTGTAGTCTTAGGTAACTACCCAATATTCAGCAACACTTGGAGAAAATTCAGCTGGGGTAAGTATTATTATAGAGGATTATCTGAAGGATGTGTAATCCATCCTTCCCTGGCAACCATCTAAGAGTTATGTCTGCATTAAGCAACACCATCCTTACATTTAAAATGCCTTTTCCTAACATAAAATAGTTACATATTGCATTGCTTTGCTCCCAAGCCCCCTCTTTATCTTGTTAGCCACCCCACTCTCTGAACTGCTTTGGAAATTCAGTTTACTATGAAAAACTTTATAGACAGCAGCATATAGAATTCATCCCTATACTTCATACCAGGTGAGCAGTCACTGATTTGTGACATTTAAGTTAGGAATCTGGTAAAAAATTATTATTTTTTTACCTTTCTAGCCATTTACATTTAAATATAATATTTGTGCTCTTTGAAGACAACAATTAGATCCAGCCAATACTGCACACCATTAGTCACAGAGTTTACCTTTCCGAGAGAGTTGTGATCAAGTACAGTTAACTTCTAGAAGTAAACAGAGAAACTCTACAAAGGAGGTAAGTAGGTATTTCTGGAGTTTTTTATTATTATTATTAAATTTATAAGTAGAGGTTATCTCTTGAAACGTCAAAAATAAGCTATCATGGTAGTGTTTTTTATTTTTCCTTTTTGTTCTCCAGATATATGCTTTACAATTTTGCTTTAGCCTATCCAGGTGGTCAACCACTTGCTAAAAACCAAGAACTGGGGACAAAAAGGAAAAAGAAATCTCTCCTAAGACTCAAGGAGTTTTGCCCTATAAAGCAAAGTGGGTTTGTTTTCTAGATGAGTAAGCATTTGAAGCAATTTATCTTAAAAGAGAAAAAAACCGAAAAAACAATGTATTTTATTATATTCACCACTACGCCACCAGGGTTTCCTCTTACTCATGTAGGATGCAGATGTTTAGATACAGGAATAAAGAAACTTAATCTTGGTTAAGTGATTTTCAATTTGGAAATCATTTTTTAAATATGTCATCATAGGTGTCACCAGATATTGTTGCTATTTTTAGCCAACATTCAGCCAATCTACACTACTTACCTTTGCCCTCCACATTAGCCACAACTTAAAAACATCAACATGGCGCCCGCACTGTAAGGCCTTGTCTCCAGTGTCGTAGGACAGGTCATAGTGTTTATCTTGCTGAAAGAGGTAGGAGGCGTGCATCTGGTTACAACTCTGCATCAATCCCTAAAAGAGAGAAGAGAAAATTTAAGAACGTTTACTGACTTTATCAAGTATTCTATTTGATTTGCATTGCAGTGAAATTATTAAGAAAAAGAGAGAGAGAGAGAGACATTGTACATCCTGGAAAAAGGAAACAGTTAAAATCAAATGGAAAAAAAAAATAGGGCCAATATCTGGATGGGATGGGCTTCTATGATAGGTCAACTCTGTGGGATAAATGGCTCAGGGTCAAGTGTCACCAGAAATTAACGAGGGTATACTTATACATTTACTCACTTTCGTAAGAGCAGGCATTTATTTAAAGGGAATAGGGGGGCCAGGAACACAATCAGAGTGTAATGTTCATTCTTTAGGAGAACGATTTGGTGTTCCAGTTTTGTTGTATTAAAATATTTTGACAACTCTTTGGTTCTGTAAAATATTATTAGTGCGATTATTCTAATGTTTCATCCATGTTTATTTCAAGTCCTTATCATTTAGCTGTTGCTAATGTTTGAGCTCTCTTTGGAAATCATAGTCTTCAGGACAGTTCATTGCTATCATATCTACATGTTAAAGTCTAAAAATGTAAAGGTATTGCTATTTTGAGATGACTTAAATATCCAATCTTTCAAATGCCATGTCCCTCTCTCAAGAGTGGTCAGAGCTTCAGTACTGCATCTTCATATTGAATTGCTTAAGGTAGTTACAGTGGAAAATTTCGTTGTTCTGCAATGGAACAAAGATCATTGATTTGCCCCCGAACCATAACCCTACTAAGGAAAATGGGTGGCAAAGTGACTGAATCATTCCAGAGAAGAGGGAATGAATCATGCTTTTTGACTAAAATAGCACTGCCAGTCTCCCTAGAAACCCCACCATTTCTCAATTTGTCATGAACCACAGGAAGCCTTTGACTCTTTATCTATAGTATAACTGCAATTTTACAAAAGCTTTGGCATTGCTTCTCTTCTGACTCACGCCAAGAGGAGAAAAGACTAAAATGTGATCATTTTTTAAAAAATTATCCAAACTAAACCACAATGCAGTGTGACTATAATTTTAACTAGGTCTTGGAAGATCAGATGCCAGGTGACAGACAAACAGAACTGGGCTCTATTTTGTAGTGTAGGTTTCATATTTGCTGGAATCTATTAAATTATTTTTGAGACTAAGAAAAATTAAATATAATGTATTTGTATTCGACAGTCATAAGACACTGATTTTGAAAAAGAAAATTCACTTGAAGCCCAATATGAAGAAGTAAAAATTGCAATAGTATTTTGCAATTGTATTTTGTTTCATGGTCACAGAAACTTGGTTACCACTCTTCCCCCAGCCATGCAAGCTCACAATAGGTGCCACCAACCAGAAGGAAGACTGCTTCAGAGAGTGTGCAATTGTGGACAGATCAAACCAAATCCTACTGGGATAGGAAAAACAGCTCAAAGCACATGACCTCTTAAATGTTGGCTAGCATCAATCTCATTGTTGTACAAAAAGCATAAGTAAAAGTGATGTGGTTTTGCATAGGGAAGGTTTTGGTGAAATAATATCCTGATTCTGAACCATTGAAAAGTTATAGACCACCATGTCTCAAATTATTTTAAACATGTTAATAGTTGCCGTGCAAAGAGAGATTCCCATGGTCAAATAAACTTAGCAAACTCTGTATCATAATTCCTTTCTTTTTAGATATTTGCAATACATATCATATTAAAGGCACCCACAAGTTCCGAAGTAGTGAAACTTGTTTTAAACTCTTTAATTTGCTGTTTCTCAAGCATTTTTGAACTCAGAACCCTCTTATTGCAGAATACTTATTAAAATCATATGAAACAGCAGTATTCCTTGGATCCCAATAAGAAAAATACTGTCAGAGCATCGTAGACTCTTGGGATTTGGGAGGGACCTCAGAGCTGATTTATTCCCAATGGGTGAAGGAATCCTTCCTATACCTTCACTGATAAGTGGTTGTCCAATCTATTCAGTCACCTCCTCTGAGGATGAATTTATTCCTACATAATACATTCATTACTATGTTGGACAGCTTACTTTTTAGAAATGTCTTCCTCTGATTGATTCCAACTCAGACCTAAAATCATTGTATATTCTGATTTTGCCATCACATCTGTATCACCTAGTGTTACTAACTGTTACGGATTGAATTGTGTCTCCCTGAAAGATATGCTGAAGTCCTAACCCCTGTACCTGTGAATGTGATCTTGTTTGGAAATAGTCTGTTTTTTGTTTTTTTTGCAGAAGTTATCAGTTAAGTTGAAGAAGCCCTGGTGGTGAGGGTCAGCAGTTTGAACCCACCAGCTGCTCTGAGGGAGAAAGATGTGGCAGTCTGCTTCTGTAAAAAGTACCTACTCTGTCCTAGAGGGTCACTATGAGCCAGAATTGACTCCATGGCAGTGGGTTTGGTTTGTTTTTTTTATCAGTTAAGTTAACAAGGTCATAATGTAGTAGGATGGATCCTAATCCCTTCTGAGTGGTGTCTTATAAAAGGGGAGAACAGACATGGAGACAGAGATACACAGAGGAAAGACACCATGTGAGGATCTGTCTGTAAGTGAAGGAGAGTCAAGAAAGCTGAAAGAGACAGGAAGGATCTTCCCCTAGAGCTGACGAGAGAGGGGTCATAGTCCTGCTGATGCGCTGAATTTGAACTTCTAGCCTCCAGAACTGTGAGAAAATTAATTTCTCTTCGTTAAAGCCATCCACTTTGTGGGTATTTTGTTATCGCACCCGTAAGAAACTAAGACACTAACCTAGTACCCACCCCAAAGGCTAAAACAAAACAAAACAAACACAAAAACCTAATCTCTTCCACTTGAGAGTCATTTAAACTGTGAAGAAAACTATCCTCCCCTTAACTCTCTAAATTTCTTTTTTTCTCCCCCAGGTTAAACATTCTTACTTCTTTCAACTATTCCTTTTACATCTTTACCAGTTGTTCACCTCTGTTTGAGCTCTAGATTGATGGGGTTTCATATCTGGCACCAAGCTAAGTGAACCTTTCCTCCCTCATCATGAAACTCTGCTTCTTTTATTGCAGGCTAAAATCCCATTAAATTAGGTTGAATTGCATTCTTCTCTTGACTCATTGTTGACCATGCGGTTCAACCTAAATATTAGGCCTTTTTCACAGTCAAAATATTACTATTCTATACTTGGACAGGAGCCCTGGTGGTGCAGTGGCTGCTAACCAAAAAGTCGGCAGTTCAAATCCACCAGCTGTCCCTTGGAAACCCGAGGCAGTTTTGTTCTGTTCTATAGGGTCGCTATGAATCAGAATCAGCTTGACAGCAATGGGTTAGGGGATACTTGGATGTAAGAGCTGTTCCTTACAGTTTTCCCCACGAGCAACTTCCCTTTTTTGGATGTGACTCCCTGTTCCAGCCTATAAAGATCAACCTGTATTTTAATTCTGTCATTACATACATTTATTTTCCCTCCCAGTTTCCTGTCATCTGAAATGTTAATAAGCTTCTATGTTTATTCAAACCACTGATGAATATTTTGAATGGTACAGGGTTAGGCACCAAGCCACAAGGCTCTATCCTGGGTGACATTAAATAGTCAATCAGCAGGTCCTTCTGACGCAGTCTTTTAAGCAGTCCCAAATCTGCCTTCACTCTATTTTCATCTGGCCTGCATTTCCCCTTCTGTCTATTACAGCATGATGGGAGCATCTGGCTGAAATCTAAATTAAAAAAATATAGCATTTCAAGTAATACAGCTGAAGTTTGCATGACAGTGTCGTTGTTAGGTGCTGTCGAGTCAATTGCAACTCAAAGCGGCCCCATATGACAGAGCAGAACTGCCCCATAGGGTTTTCCAGAATGAAAGCTTTATGAGAGCCTTTCTTTAACCATCCTTTCCTTATCTGCTTAACCATTGCACCATCAGGGCTCCTTTGCATGAGATAGGGTAGATGATAATATATTTGTCATGGATTGAATTATGTCCCCAAAAAATATGTGTATCAATTTGGCTAGGCCATGATTACCAGTGTTGTGTGATTGTCCACCATTTTGTCATCTGATGTGATTTTCTTACGTGCTGTAAATCCTCTCTCTATGATATTAATGAGATGGGATTAGTGGCGGTTATGTTAATAAGGCAGGACTCAATCTACAGGATGAGATTGTGTCTTAAACAAATCTCTTTTGAGATACAAAAGAGAGAAGCGGACAGAGAGACATGGGGACCTCATAACACCAAGTAACAGGGGCCAGGAGAATAGTTCGTCCTTTAGACTCGGGGTCCCTGGGCTGAGAAGTTCCTCGACCAGGGAAGATTGATGACAAGGACCTTCCTCCAGAGCTGGCAGAGAGAGAAAGTCTTCCCCTGGGGCTAGCACCTTGGAATTCGGACTTCTGGCCTACTAGACTGTGAGAGAATAAACTTCTGTTTGCTAAAGCCATCCACTTGTGGTATTTCTGTTACAGCAGCACTAGATAACTAAGACAATATTGAACTGAATTTTTAACTGATAGAAAACGTGTCTGAAAGAATATCTTCCAACGTATTCATCTCATTTTGGAAAGGTGGTCTCTGTCTTCAATATTTCTATTAATTACTTTGATGAAGACATAGAAGTTATACTATTTAAATTTTCAGTTCACAAGTGGTATTAACAACATGGAAATAGTAATACCCTTTGACCCAGCAATCCCACTTTGAGGAATCTATTTTAAATAAATACTCAGAAACTCAATCAAAGATCTATGTTTATGGATTTTTAGCAAGCCACTATTTAAAATATTGGTTAATATTTTAACCACAGGGGCATGGTTAATTAAATTATATTATAGAATATGTTGAGGCCATTAAAAATTATGTTTTAGAAGCTCATGCTCACCATTTTATGTTAAGTATAAAGAAGGACAAACATGTAGATGTGATACATATGATACGAATTTTATTTTTTAAAATATATATTCCTAGAAAAATTGTGGAAGAAAATATTTAAAAAATAAATAAAAATATTTATCTTCAAGTGATAGAATTTTAGGTCACCTCAAATTTATGTAGATTTTCTGTACTGCCCAAATTTTCTGAAATGATTATGTGTTAATTTTATAATTAGGAAAAAGCAAAACATTTTTAAAGTAAATAAAGATTTAAAAATCCCTGTAACCTGGGCATGCTTTATTAATGCTAATGAGATAAAATTTAATAGGGATAAACTAAAGCTCCTTATTTGTGTCTCATAAACTAAATGAGCATAGGAGTGAGGAGATGTGACTCTCTTGGGATCTTGGAAGAGAGACGTAGGGGCATTGACTGAGTGTGATCACGCTACAGAGAATGACCTCAAGATTTGTTAACAGAAGTATCTTGAAATGAAAGTGGTCTTCACTGGTTAATACCTATGCAGATGCCTTACTTTTTAAACATGGCAATAAATATTAAATATGTTATTGTTGTTGGATGCTGTTGAGGTGATTTTGACTCAGAGCAACCCCATGTGACAGAGTAGAACTTCCCATAGGGTTTCCTAGGCTGTAATATTTATGGGAGCAGATCGCCAGGTCTTTCTCCCTCAGAGCCACTGGGTGGATTTGAACTGCCAGCCTTTCAGTTAACAGTGGAGTGTTCAACCGTTGTGCCACCAGGGCTCCTTAGTATTAAATATAATTTAATATAATTAACCCCTCTAGCCTTAAATCCTAACAGTAACCTAATCATATGTTCATGTGTATTTTTTCTTACGGCAGAACTAACCCTTTTTACAGAAAAAACTGGAAATTTAATTTCTTGAGAGAGTAAAATAGGGGACCTCTGGCTCAGAGGACACAACTGAGAAAAGGGGTATCATACTGAAAACCTGCAGATTAGGTCAAAGTTTATATTTGGAAAATTGAGGCCCTCAAGCCCCTTTTCCTCTCTAAGCGTGGGCAGGCATTAGAAGAGTACTCTCTGGGGAATCTGAGCAACTCAATACAAAAGACCTAAAGATACTGACATTGAGAGAGAAAGTCAATTTACATGGACAGCCAAACCCATGGATGGACTGAAACAAGCAAAGTCAAGAAGGACATACCTCTTCTCTAACCAGGAGAGCGGAACACTGCAAAGGGACACCCATCATCTTGTGTGGATTCCATGTGACAGAGTTGGCCCTAAAATAAAGCAAATCATGTAAGAGGGTAGCATTCCATGACAGGCTCGGACTATAAGGCCTCGCAGACGGGCAGCAGAGCTTCTGGGTTCTATGGCTCTGTTTCTCAGACTCCAGGTCAACACTAAATGTACAAAACCAGAAATGAACCCATAAAATGTGCAATATTTTCCTTGTCCACAGAGACAGTAAATAAAAGCAAAACAAAACAAAGAAACAAACATTGCCATCAGGTCAGTTCTGACTCATGGTGACCCTGTGCGTGTCAGGGTAGAACTGCACTCCCTAGGGTTTTAATGGCTGTGACCTTTCAGAAGCAGATTGCCAGGCCTTTCTTCCCAGGATTTGAACTGCCAACCTTTCAGTTAGTAGCTGAGTAAGTTAACTGTTTGCACCACCCAGGGACTCACAGCTTAGCAATGTAACTTCACTACTGCTTTTTGAGAAGTGAGATGGCCATATTCTCCAGAGCTCCCATGGAAGCCTTCATTCTGTCTCCATGATGGGTTGAGAGCCCCTTAGATTCAGAGGAACATCCTGCCCAGTGTCCTGACTTTAGCCAATGATGAAGCAGAGCAGCAGGCAGGTGCACAGAGCTGTCTGTGCACACACAGCTCCCCCCTCCCCCACGGACCTCCACTATCCCTGCTTCTAACACTAGTCTAATAGCCTGGACTACAGAGTCATTACACATCCCACTGCTTAATTGTGTTCTTTTCTTGGCTCAATTTCTCCTCTTCTTATTTAACTGATTATCAGATTTCTCAAATGTGTTTTTTGTAATAGCTTCTAGTAAGTCTCCTGCTTCTATCTCTTCTCTAATCCAGAGTTATCTTTCCAAACCATGGAGGTTTTCAATCTTTTTTGTCCTAACACACTTTAGAAATATACTGCTCTCCCATCAGCAATTGTGGCTTACACAGCAGTGATTCTCAGCTCAGGGATTTATGTTACTTGAAAAATCTGAACCATAGTCCTGGTTCAGACTCCTTTAATAATAATAATTATTGTTATTTTAGTCTGGATACAGCAACAGTGTCTTAACTGACTCTTGGGTTCTCTTTCATCCTCTACCCAGGTCACCAGAGTAATCTAGCTCTGTTTATAGCCCTCTCTTCTTCCTAAATTGTTGACAACTCCCCTTTGCCTACAGCCTAAATTCCAAACGGCAGTGTATGGCTCATGAAGCCTGCATGGGCGAGCCCCAGTCTATGTGTTCAGTCTTGCGTCCTTTCTCTTTCCATTATCCATTTTTGTCACACCAGATTATTTTTTGTTGTCAGAAAATTCTGTTCTCTTACTCCTAGAATAGACTTTTCATGTCATTTCTTCTTCCTGGGATGTCATCTTTGTCAGCTTCACCTGGTTAAATCTTGTTTATTCTTTAGATCCCAGATCAAGTACTACCTCTGCAATCTTCTTCAACTTCTCTCCTTCACTCCACTGTGCTGTTCCAGCACCCTCCTGCTTCCCCAACCCCAGCTCCCCAGGGAAGTAACTGCTCCCACCATGAGTTCCCATTGTTCATTTCACACATTTTTTAGGCAAGGTGAGTCTCTGAGTATGTCTTCTGAGACTGGCAGATCCTGAAGGATGAGGATTATCATCATGAATGTGATCCTGGGGTAAACTCACAGGAGGAAGGAAAGTAGTAGAACAATATATGGCAGCTGTATCTGGAGTGCCCCTGGATTGCTGCTTCTCCTCTTGCTGAAAGGAGCCCTGGTAGTGCAGTGGTTAAAGCGATGGACTGCTAACCAAAAGGTCGGCAGTTCAAAACCACCAGTGTCTCTGCAGGAGAAAGATGTGGCAGTCTGCTTGGAAACCCTATGGGGTCGCTATGAGTCAGAATCGACTCGATAGCAGCGGGTTTGGTTTTTTGTCCTCTTGCTAAACAGTGGACTTGGGCTGACCCTGCTCCCACTGCTTGGGGTGCTAGAGCTTTGGAAAGAAATGAGAAGCTAGGAAAGATCCCATTCATCCATTTGACAGATGGTGGATGTCAGCCGGAGAGGCAGAGAACACTTAGTGGCCAGAGGATCTTATCTGAGTAAATGAATAGTCCAGCTCATTTTCTGGTCTTTCTTTGGTTCTGACAATGGCTGTCAGATATATTTAGGACTGGAATGGGGGGCATGGAAGCAAAGGCAGTTCATGTCCAGTGACTACAACTCCTGGTAAGAGGACTAAATGGCTTCCTGAATAATAATGGAACTGTGGCATTGAAAAGCCCCTTTCAAGAAAATATCTCCTTGCTCTGCAGAGTGACCCTAGAGTCAATAAACCTGGACTCTAAGCAGTAGATTACAGTGGATAAGCGAGGGGAGCTCAGGAGCCAGACAGTCTAGGTTTCATCTAAGTTCTCTCACTTCCTAGCTGCGTGACTTTTTTTTTTTTTTTTACTTATTTTATATATATACATATATTTATTGTACTTTAGATGAACATTTACAGAACAAATAATTTCTCTTTAAACAGCCAGTACACATATTGTTTTATGACATTGGTTAACAACCCCGCGACATATCAACACTCTCCCTTCCCAACCTTGGAGGACCTTTTTTTTTTTTTTATTTTGGTGAAAATATACATAGCCAAAGTTAGACCATTTCAAAAGTTTCTACATGTACAATTCAGTGACATGGATTACATTCTTCCAGTTGTGCTGCTATTCTCACTATCCTTTTCCAAATTATTCCATCTTCAACTTACTGCCCCCTAGGCTTCCCATCAAACCTTTTGAGTTGTTGTCAATTTGATCTCACAGAGATAATTCTTTTTTGTTTTTTGTACCTTAGATGAAGGTTTGCAGAACAAATAGTTTCTCATTAAACAGTTAATACACATATTGCCCTATGACAATGGTTAACAACCCCACGACATGTCAACAGTGTCCCCTCTCAACCTTGGGTTCCCTATCACCAGCTTTCTTGTCCCTTCCTGCCTACTAGTCCTTGTCCCTGGACTGCTGTGCCTCCTTAGTCCCATTTTGTTTTATGAGGCATTCACCAGGTGAACGGTGAACTTCAAGAGCGACTTCACCACTGAGCTAAAAGGGTGTCCGGGGGCCATACTATTAAGGTTTCTCCAGTCTGTCAGGCCAGTAAATCTGGTCCTTTTTTTGTGAGTTAGAATTTTGTTTTACATCCTTTTCCAGCTCTGTCCAGGACCCTCTATTGTGATCCTGATCAGAGCAGTCAGTGGTGGTAGCCAGGCATCATCTAGCTGTACTGGACTCAGTCTGATGGAGGCCATGGTAGCTGTGGTACATTAGTCCGTTGGACTAATCTTTTCCTTGTATCCTGTTCTCTTCATTTTCCCTTGCTCCTGAAGGGGTGAGACCAGCAGAATATCTTAGATGGCTGCTCACAGGCCTTTAAGAACCCAGACGCTACTCACCAAAGTAGAATGTAGAACATTGTCTTTATAAACTATGTTATGCCATTTGAGCTAGATGTTCCCGGAGACCATGGTCCCCATAGCTCTCCGCCCAGGAATTCAGTCTCTCAGTGAGTTTGGATGTGTCTGTGGAGCTTCCGTATCTTTTGCTTTTACAAGTTATGCTGGCTTCCCCAGTATTGTGTACTGTCTTATCCTTCACCAAAGTTACCACTTATCTATTGTCTATTTAGTACCCCCCCACCCCTCCCGTCCCTCATAACCAACAAAGATTGTTTCTTTTTGTAAGTAAACTTTTACATGAGTTTTTACAGTAGAGGTCTCATACAATATTTGTCCTTTTGTGATTGACTTATTTCACTCAGCATAATGTCCTCCAGTTTCATCCATGTT